GGGGGGGGGCGACCGTGCGAGCAAGATCGCAATCCAGTCAGAAATGTCGACTACACGTGACTCCAGGGGAGTGGTCATCTGGCACGACTGGTCAGGTGCTGGATTGTCCTTCGTCTCGAATCGTTCCCGGCAGCCGCGCAAATCCCACCAGCCAGGCCAAGCCCATCAAGGGAGCAGGAGGACGAGGCGGACGCCGCACTCGCGGCAGGTCCTCCCCCCCCCACCCCGACTCGGCAGCTCTGCCCCTCGATCAGCCATCACCCTGCGGGAGATGACAATTCCCTTGCCAGGCCGTTCCCCCCCCCCCCCCCCCCTCCCCCTTCTTCCTCCTCCGCCAGTTTCTCCTCCCTGCTGCACTGCCCTCCTCGCTATGCAGGCCGCCATTGCGCAGACCCCCTCCTCGGACACTACCCTATCGGAAGGCCCACCTTCAGGTGCCGGGGGCCCGGAGCCCGGGGGCGGGCCCACCGACGTCGAGGTGCCGGCCCTCTGCCCAGAAACCCGGCGTTTCCAGGTGGAGCTGGAGTTTGTCCAGTGCCTGGCCAATCCGCAGTATCTCATCTGTACATACCCCTGGGCACCTTCTCCCTGTTGCTTCGACCTTTCCCCCTCTCCCTCCCCGCCTCGCTTGGACTCTAACCAACACCATCGGCCCCGCTCGCGCTTCAAGTTCTGGCCCATGACCGGCGCTGCCTCACCGACCCGGCCTTTGTTCGGTATCTCCGGTACCTGATGTACTGGAAGCAGCCGCAATATGCCAAGTATATTTCGTACGTTCGGGGCCGGCATCCCCGTCCTGATGCATCCCTGCTCCCCCCCCCCCCCCTCTTCGCTCCGTCCCTCCCTGCGACCGAGGCTCCTCCCTGACCGGCCTCCCACAGCTACCCCCATGCCCTCTACTTCTTGGAGCTCCTCCAGTGCCCAACCTTCCGCTACCAGCTGGTCCATTCGACGGACATCGTTCAGGCCACACATGGCCTGCAGTACCATTACTGGCTCTACTCCTGGAAGGTGTGTCTCCCGGCCCCCTTGCTCCTCTTAGCCGACATCCCCCACCACGGATCACTGACTGACCCCCGCGCCACCTCCCTCGACCTTCCAATCGCAGCTCATGCGCCACGACCCCACTCTGCTGACACCGCCCTGAAGGTAGAGAGAACCCCAATACAATAATTGAAATCCACCCCCCCCTCCCCTGGGCCAGCTGCACGCCTGATCCCCCTCCTCCCTCCCTCACGGGAGCGGAGTCGGAGGAGGGGCGGGGAGATGGGCAAGAGAGAGGGGATTGGCATGCGCAGAAGCGCGCGCCCATGCACAAGCAAGCTGAGGACCCCGGAGCCAAAAGGGGTGTATTATGCTCTCGCGAAGTGGAGATGTCGCGCGTATATGTGTATATGAAGAGAGAGGGGGGGGGGGAGGGAGAGGGTGCGCACATGCCATCGGCAAGGGGCCTCACACTGGGACCCGCCACACACGGGGCGCTTGTCAGTGCACCGAAGGAGTGGGCCGCACACCGATCAAGAAGGGTGTGTCTACTCGACAACGTAGGGCTTCTGTAGACCGAAAGCCGATGGGGACGGGGGGAAGGCCAAGTGTGGGGAGGGAGGTGAATAGGCCAGGGCCGGAGTCAGTGGATTGCAGAACCCAAAGGCAAAAGGTGTGCGGGAATACTCGAGGACAAAAGGCGGGAAAGGGGGGCAGAGGAGAGAGAGGCAGAGATGTTGGAGGAGAGCACACGCACCGGCAGCTCGCGCTGGTTGTAGCGAACCTCGTTGTTCTTGGAGAAGCGGTAGCAGGGGTAGATGATGAAGACCGCTGCCAGACCATAGACGATGGCGGTGTTGCGCACCCAGTGCGGCTGATGGGTCCACCAGCCACCAGACGGCGACCAGACCCACTTGGGGTAGGGGAACTGAGAGCCGGCACCCTGGGGAGAGGAGACATTCGGCGGGAGAGGGAGTCAGAGACGAGCTCGGGGCAAGGCCGGGAGCAAAGGCAACAAGGAGGACCAGTCCATGCCAAGGGGGAGGGAGCAGAAAAAAGCAGGGGAGAAGGTGGAGAGGAGAGGGGCTCAAAGCGGAGAGCCAAAGCTGCAGACAGACAGACAGACACACACACAGCACAGGACGACACAAAGAGGCAGTCACAGGCAGCACAAAAGGAGGAAAGGGGACAGATGAAGGCGAAACGAGCGAGAGGAAACAATCACCCTCGAGGCCGAGGGGGGAGAGAGAGAGAGAGAGAAAGAGAAAGAGGTGGGGAGCGGGGGGCAGAACGAGAACGAGCGCAAAGGGGAAGACTAACCATGATGAAGAGGGAGAAAGGAGGAAAGAGGAGGGAGAGGTGTGGACGAAATGCACACACACACACAAACAGGGGGGTTGTTGCCGGCGGCGCCGGGCCGAGCGCAGCGGCACTCGCGACGGTCAGTCTCATAGGGGCACCTTCTCCGAGAGAACAGCATTCCATGTCACGGGGACATTGTGAATGGGCACTCAGGCAATTGACGACGGAAGTACCACCGTTGGCATTTGGTGTATTGTGGGGAAGGCGCCATACAGGCCCTCCCTCAGTGGGGATGGTATTGGCCTCTCGCCGACCCGGCGACGAAGGGCTGCTGCGCATGGTATGCCTGCGGCTGGTAGGGCAACTGCTGTGGGAGGTGAGAGAATGGTGGCCCGTGTCCGGGCGCTTGGTGCGCGTGGGCACCGCCCGAGGAAAGTGCCGGTGGTGGCCCAGTCGGCCCGAAGGCCGGGGCGGCTGCATAGGGCCCGACACTGGAATTGAGCTGCTGCTGCTGCTGCTGAGGATGATGATGATGATGATGATAATCCTGACGCTGGTAGTGATGGGGCTGGTATTGGTGCTCCGTGCCGGCGGAGTGGAAGGCTTGCTTCGTCGGCTGAGGGGAGAAGGCAATCTGCTCCGGCGGCGGTGGCGGTGCCGCCGCCGCCCGGGGCAGAAGCCCCTCCATCAGACTGCGCTCAACCTCGAGCGCGGCCCGAAGCTTCTCGAGCCCAGCCAGGACGGCCTTCTCTCGACGTGCCCGGTCGGTGGCCTCGGTGGCCGCGGGCTTCGTTTCGCCGCTCGGGCTTGGACTTGGCCCGGCTGTTGATGCTGTCGATGACGCCGACTCGCCGGGCCCCCTGCCATCGGTGGGTAGCAGCTCCCGGGCCAGTTGCACAAAGGGCGAGGTAGTGGCCCCGGCTGCCGGGGCGCTGGCCGGGGGTTCCGCCGGGACGGCAGCCAAGGGAATCGACCCGGCCGGGCCCAGGGGGGCTGGGCCACTCTCGGCGCCCGAACCGGGCATCTTGCTCCCCCGCGAGGACCCGGCATACTGCCGAAGGACCGCCTGGGGGACATGGCTTAAAAGCTCCAACCGGTCGAGAGCCTCATTGAGGAGTTTCTCTCGCTGGCCCAGGCGGAAGATGAGGGCCCGGTTTTCGGCAAGCAGCAGCTCCATCGCCGGGCCGGACAGGGCATCGACCTCCGAATCGGACTCCTCACCGGCCAGCAACTGGTCCATCAGTGGCTGAGGAGAGCGGGACAGAGGGCGAAAGAGGGGGCAGATGGATGGCGACGAGGGGAAGAGTGAGCGACGAGGCCAAGGTACATGCGGAGGGGGCAGAGAGAGAGAGAGAGAGAGGTGGCAAGCAGGCAGGCCATGCTGAGGCCGACACACAAAAGGACGCTCGGAAAAGGCCCACAGCAAAAGCAGGACACCCAAGCCCCCTGTCAAAAGTACCTTCGCCGGCGGGGGAGCCCGACGCTCCAGGGCCGCTGCCAGGCGCCGCTCCAATTGCCCCACCGTGTGGCGGAGGTCCTGGGCCGAGGCTTCGGCCGTCTCGGCCCGCGTGGTGGCCTGAAGCAGGCGGGCTTCCAATTGCGCGGCTGCACTCTCGGCCGACAAAATCTTGCCATTCGCCACACACAGGCGCGCATACCACTGTTGCTGGTCGGTGCCCTGTCGGAGAAGCTGCATCAGAGCCTCCTCGGCGTCCAGCAGCCGGCTCTCGGTGTCGGCCAGACGCTCGGCCGTCCGCCGGAGGGCTCGCAAATGCCGTGCCTCACGGGCGCCGGCCCCACCCGCCGATGGAGACTCCCGAAGCAGCCGTGCCAGTAGCCCCTGCAGTGACCCGAGGTCCGTCGGGAGCGACTGGCGGATGGTTTCCTCCAAGTCACCGAGGGCATCCTCAAGGGCGGCCCGGCCGCGGGGCCCGGCGTCCCCACCGGCCGCCAGGAGCGCCTCCTCGCGCATGCCCACCAGCAGCGAGGTGATGGCTTCCTGCAAGAGCGGCGCCATCTCCCGGGCCAGTTGGACATCGCCAGGCGCCGCAGGAGGACCCATCGCCGGACCCGCTGACCCAGCCATGCTGCCGGACGCGCGGCCAATCACCGCCTCGGCCCGGCGCATTTCGTCGTCCACCTGGTGCAGCAGACTGGCCGCCGGGGCCGCGGTGGCTCGGCCCCGCTCAAAAGCCGCCGCCAGCTCCCGCTCAAAGGACGCCGTCATGTCTGCCAGCCGAGCCCGTGCCACGCCGACCGAATCGGTCTGCGCTTTGGCCTCCGCCTGAAGACGAGCCATTTGCCGCTGCGCCTCGTCGCGCTGGCTCAGGGCATCCAGCGCCCGGCGCTCGGCCGCCAGGGCCCGGGCCTCGGCCTGGGCCAGCTGCTCCGAGGACAGATGTCCATCGGCCGCAGTTCGGCGATCAAGCTGGGCCAATAAATCCCTCTGCAGAGCCTGCTCCCGGTCCACCTGCCCCGACAGCCGGGAGACCTGCTCATCGTGCGTGGAAATTCGCCGCTGGAGGGCCTCCACTTGGGCTTGGGCACGGGCAAGGTCCGCATTGAGGGAGCTCAAAGGAAGCAGCGAAGGTCAGCAGGTGTGAGCGGAGCGCCAAAAGTGGAAGAGGGGCGAGGGGCAGTTTCGCGGAGGGAGCCGGCAGGCAAACGGGGCAAAGGTACTTGTTGGTGCTCTCGCTCTCGGCGAGTTGCGAACGGAGCTCGGCCATTTCTGTGGGCCGAAGGGAGGGGAGAGGCCAAAACAGGGCCGAGGGGCTGCATGTGAGTATGTGCAAGACGCGGTGGACACCCATCGCGAGGGGCAACAGAAGGAAGGCCCTGAGCATGGACACAAGGAAGGGCGCTGATTTCCGAGGGAGAGAGAGAGAGAGAAGAAGGAAGGAAGAGAGGGGAGGAGGGGGGGGAACGAGGGCAACACGCCACGCACCGTGACTAATTGAGTCATACTTCTCGGCATATTCCTGGACCTGGGATTCGGCCGCGGCAAGTTGCTCCTTCAGGAGGGGGGGACGGAAGAGACGGTTCTCACGGATAAGTGCCAAGCAGGGACAGGAGCAACGAAAAACACGCAGTGCCAGATGCATGATACACAAGCAGGCGAGGCAAGACACACCGATAGCAGGGACACCTGTTCGCTCGTAGGACCCCCCTGCTCGGTGGCCATGGCAGTCGGCGCGCCATTTGCATCCAAGCGGCTCATGCGCAGCTCCAGCTGGTATATTTGCAGCTTCAGGTCGAAGTTTTCCTTCCGCAGCCCGGCCACAATCGCCGCCTGCTCCTCGATGGTCGATAGGCCGGCCATCTCGGATCCAAGCAGAAGCCCATCCAAATCGCCGGCGGCTCGACCGGAGCCAGCTGTCCCCCGGGCTGCCAGCGAAGATCCCACATGGGGCAGATCTTGCGACAGGGCGGCCAATGCGGCGGGCGAGAGGAACAATCCGCCCGCACTGCCGGGGGTTACGGTCGGTGCAGCGGCGCCGCCGGGTGGCCGACGCACTGGGGTCTCCGGTGCCTCAGGCAGCGGGGCCTCCGCCGAGGGTGCCGGCACGGTCGCCGCCGAGGCGGCTCCGGAAGGCGACCCGATCTGACCCGCGGGCAGGTCACCCGCCGGGGGGCGACGCCGTGCGCTCAATGCACTGGAGAAGGGCCCGAAACTGTGCTCCATCGGGAAGAGCCCGGTCAGCGGAGCGACAAAGCCGTCACCCATGGCCGGAGGGGTCGGCCTACGTGTGGATCGGGGGAGAAAGAGGGCAAGGGGAGGAGGGGGGGCGACACGTGAAAGGCGAGGGGAGTGTGCCGGCGCCTGGGGAGCGCGCACAGGCGCACGTGGCGAAGAGGGGGGGAAAGAGGC